CACACACACAGGGTAAAACTGCATAAAAATATTGAAAATTAGGGGAAATTACATTGGGAAATAAATGTACATTTTCATGAATGTTTCAAAGAAACTTGTAGACTGATATGGTAATTGGATGGAAGACATTCATGAATGAATGAAAACAAAATGGTCAAAGAATAGAAACAGAATAATTTATTTCTCCCAAGTTGTTTCGGACTTATGGTTTTACCCTGGATTCAGACCTGTCCGGGGAGGACTGTCTGAAGCAATATGCTTGCTTAGGGGAATTATGTTTAGCTCAAATGCAGAAATATTTAGTGACTGGGTAACTCAGGGGGGTTGCAGACTGCCAGAAATAGTGCAAATTGAGTCCACTTTTAGGGTTAGGGTTAGTGCTAAGGAATCATGTATACGGAGTCCAGAGGCACACAGAACTCCAGAGGCAGGTTTCAAATTGTAATGAGTTTTATTTAAAAGGGGAAATCAACACACACACATAAACAAACAACCATGCACACACACAAGGACTAGAGAAATCAAAGATGTTAGGCTGGAATAGAAATCAGGCTTAACTAACAATGATACTGCACCTGAACAGCTCTTCACTCCATTTTCTAGTGTTCCACAAGTGGAATGAGGACTCAGTCACTTCCTTGCCAAGTGGGGGTAGCAAGTGATAGAGGTGCTTAGTCAAGCATACCAGCAGCATTTCTACCTACAGCTAGACTAAGCCAAAGACTTGCTAAGAAGTCCTGATATTTATATCAAAAATATCCCTTGGCACAGATTACAAGGGGTTGAAAAGACCAAATGGTCTCTCAGTCACTTTGAAATGGGTTGAAGTACTTTGAAATGGGTTTGATGTTGGTTTGAAATGGTTTTCCAAGCTAGTGACACTGATGTGTGAATGGGTGGCAATAGATACACATTTCCAGGCAGGGAGGATTATCACACAAGATCACCAGTGCTTTGTTTATATTAAATCTGCAGCCCATTGTTTTATAGTCTTTGATCTCCTCACCTCCTCCAGAATGTCTAGAATTGATCAATCAGAACTGGGGGGGCTCAATGCACATCCTGTTTGCTAGCCTAAATGTGGGGCTGCTTTCTAGTAATGTCATCAACAATTGGAGTTGTATATTATGTCTATGTTTTATTACATTTCTGATATCAAAAGAGAAGGGATGATTGGAGACACCCATGGGCCAAACAATGGCATGTCTATGGTGAATTTATCAGGAGCGTTGCTTGGCAAGATTTGTTTAGAGGGGGTTTGCCTTGGCCTTCCTCTGGAGGCATTCACACACATTTTTTTTTGTCTTAAGGAGATGCAGATTGCTACACTGATGCATATCAGGTTTGTTGTTCCCATTTTGTTTTGAGTTCACTAAACTCTTTGAGTCACTGTAACCCCTGTGTTATTCACCCATGCCATCGTGTGAATAGATTCACACTACTAACAATGTGGATTGATGTGAATCTTTCAGGAAAAGTCAGGAAAAAACCATATCAAATATCCCAGGTTAAGTGGGGGTTTTTTGCCAGCCCCCCCCCCAAAAAAAGTGCATTGAGTGCATTCAGAATGTGTGTGAACAACTAGGATTCAACATAGATTCATCGGGGATTATTTTTGTAGTGTGAATGGGGCCTCAGAAGCTGAGAGAAAGTGACTTGTCCAAGGACACCCAGTGGGTTCCATGACTAAGCAAGGATTTGAACCCTGGTCTCCAAAGCTATAATAGCTATAATCCAATGCTCAAACTGCTACACTGTGCTGCTGCCCTATTGTATACATGCCTTCTTAGAAGAAAATTCCATCTCATTCATTGGCTCTTATTCCCAGATACCTGCATCCTATGTATGGGATTCTAAATATAAAACTGCAATGTTAGTGCATTAAAAATTGACCAAGTGTTATAACTCCATTAGTTCCCCCACTGTGGGCTGTTGTGCTTATTTGTCTTCCTATAGATGGCTATTATCTTTCTTCATTAACTTAGCAATGAATCTGGTTTGTGGATGGAATTCATCTCACTGAATTCTGGATAACAGTAGGTTTCAGACAACCTGAGTTGTTCCATGAGATGGCTCTTAAATAAATAATGGGCTTACTCAGTAGGGAAAACAAATAATGAATTTTAATGATTGTTCCAATAAACCAATGTACAGCAAATTGACTTCATCTGTCTGAATTCCAAACCAATTATAAAGCTTATGGAAAATGATCTTCTTCAGAAGATGGTAAGGGGAGAATGACTACACTAAGGCATAATCCATTTCTACAATCTAAGTTCCCAAAACCTTAGAGAGCTAGCATTATGTAATTCCAGCCGTTAAGAGTGGTTTTGTTGGCATTCTGACATTAGAATTCTGTTAACAAGTCCCCCAATAATAGGATAATATTCTGTGACACTTATACATAGTCACACCATTGTTAGGGATTTTCAAAGCCTTTGAACACTTTCCAATTTGATCTGGTGTTAACTAAATTGGATGTTGGCTATGTCAAAGACTTCCTTGTATCTGCTACTGCCATTGTCCCTTGCACCCTATATCATTTTTTAAAAGTAATTTAATAGCAATATTTGAAGGTGGAAAAGAGACAAATTTGGTTCCCCTCCTCTTTTTTCTCCTCAGATCTGGTGTAGGACAAAGGTTGTGTTGGGGGGAGTATGCAGCTATATCCTCTATGATCAATAACACTTTAAATGTGGATCTAATTACTAGTTTCAAAGTAGAATAAACACATTAATTAAATGTAAATTTGGTACATCAACAAATGCATAAAATCCATTCATTTGGGTGTATCCAAAATGCAGGATTAAAGCAGTCTGACATCATTTTAACTACTATGATTATATGCTACAGAGACCAGAGATTTGCAGTTTGTTGAGGTATTCAGCCTGGACTGCTGTTGAGCTCTGGTGCCTCACTAAACTACAAATCCCAGAACTCTGTTGGATAGAACCATAGCAGGTAAAGTGAAGCCAAAGTGCTTTAATTCTGCAGTGAGAATACACCCTAGGTCTACTAGCTCAGTGGTCCCCAACCTTTTTATTGCCGTGGACCGGTCAACGCTTGATAATTTTTC